CCCATCATCCATCCATCCATCTATCCATCATACATCCATCCATTAATTCCTCCATCCATCCATCCACCCATCATCCATCCACCCATCATCCATCCAACCATCCATCCATCATCCATCCATCCATCCACCCATCCATCCATCCATTAACCTCTCCATCCATCCATCCACTCACCCTTTCACTAACCCATCCATCCACCTATCATCCATCCATCCATCCATCCATCCATCCATCCATCTATCCATCCATTCCATCCATCCCATCCATCCATCCATCCATCATCCATCCATCTATCCATTTATCCACCCACCCATTATCTATCATCCTTCCATCCATCCATCCATCATCCATCCACCCACCCACCTACCCATCCATCTAACCATCTACCCATCTACCCGTCCTTCCATCCATCCATCTGTCCATCCATCTGTCCATTTCTCTGTTTTCTACCTGGCCACCCAGCCATCCATCACCTACCCATCACCATCCATCCTTCTATCCATTCGTCCACCCCTCCATCCATCTACCCATCTCCCCCATGCATTGCATGCATTCATTCCTCTCTAGTCACCCACTCCCCATGTGTTACCTTCCCCTGGGCCCCGGACTCGTGGTACAGATGAGTCACTCAGCCCTCAGGGTGCCCACACGCTGGGGTGAGGACAGCTCTTCCCCAGGTTCTGCGGCTGTGGGGGGAGCAGGGGTGGGGGCTGGGCGAAGCTCTCCGCAGCGTGTGGTTTCTCCTGCAGTCTGCGTGTCTCCAGACAGGATCACTGTCCCCAAGGCAGAGAGAGCCTCGTCTCCTACCCTGGTGTCCCCCACGTCACAGCCCAGCAAGGCCGGGAGCTCAGTGGTGCCTAACGAAGGGCGGCAGGCCAGCTGAGTCTCACCCGCTACCTCCGCTGTGCTCCTCCTGTGGGCCGTTGGCTCCGCTGCCCCCTGGCCTCTCTGCCAGCCCGTGCCCTGATCTGCTCACCCACCCCTCCAAATCCACTCTCTGCTAAGGCCCAGCCTGCATTCCGCTCCAAGAGAGGCCATGTAGACGGCCTCCGAGGGCCAGGCCTGCAGCAGAAGTGCTGAGCGCCAGCAGGGTAGACAGGCCTGGGCCAGGAAACTGCCTCCTATAGCATGGCCTCGAAAGACTAAGGACAAGCCACCTAGTCCCGGTCCCCCGCCCTTCATTCTCTGAGTGACCGGGGACACCCACTGGTCTCTCCAGCAAGGAAAGGCCTGGGAGCTCATCAGATGCCCCAGGTGGGCACTGCCTGGGCTCCTGGCCTGTGAGGCAGCCTGCTGCCTGGGAGGGTCAGCTGAGGGCCGCTCGTGGGCAATGGGCTGCTCTCTCGGGCAGCAGCCCCGTGATGGCTGGGGAGGTCTCGGGTCTTGGTGATCAGAATCGAGGCGTGTGGGCCTCATTCCCCGCGTACGCTGGGCAGGCGCGTGCCCCCAGGTCCCGCCTGGCTTAGAGGGCCCTGACTTCATGATAACAGGTCACACAGGAAAGTGATGGATCAGGGGAGTGTCTAAGGGTGCACGTTTCAGGGTGATTTTGCCAAAGAGGGCTCCAGACTGCACATCCTACGACAGCTGGCCTGGCAGTCAGAATAAATCCATGTCTTGATTTTGCAAGTGGTGCAGATTCCCAGCAAAGGTGTCCCAAGGTGACTTTGCCAGCTGGAAGCTCACCCCGAACCCACACCTGACTTTTCTGTCCAGCGGCTGCTACTCAGGGTTCCTGAACTGGGGACCTTCAAGGCTCCAGGGGACTTTGGTCCCCAAGATGTCTACCTGGAGGGGAGCAGGCTCAGAGCCGGGGGCAGGGTGACTGGAGGGGAACACAGGGTACTTGCAGTGCTGGCCACAAGGCTCTTCGCGAGGCCACCCCTCTCCCAACACTCAGACCAAAGAAAACCCACAGAGAGCCCCCCTCACCCACTGGCCAGCGGGCCCCTGGGTCCTGGGCTAGGAGGGGTGAGTGTGGGTGTGTGATTCTGCAGTCGGGGCAGCTGGGTCTCCCTCATTGACCTCTGACCCCACAGAATGCGGGTATGGTGTGCAGACAGGTGTTGGCAAAGTCTTGCTGAGAGAAGTTGAGTGCAGTGTTTCCAGAATGTTCTGAGGCCTTGACACAGCCTGTGGGCCTGAGAGGCAGTGTGGGGTACCTTGGATAGGTCTGTCGTCCTCTGTGCCCGGGACCCAAGGTGTGGCACGGGCACCCGCCGAGGGCTTAGAGCCCCCAGGACCCCGGGGCAGGGCCGTGGGGAGGCCCGGCTTTCCTCAGTGGAGGAGAAATCTGGAGGGCAGCTGCGAGCCAGGGGGCTGGGCCAGGTCCACCGCCCACCGGTGAGCAGGTTTGGCTTGTGTTTCCTGCTCCCGTGGGCCGGCCCCGCCCACCCCGCCCCGCCTTCAGCTGGGCCGCTGGTCCCTGAGCCCAGTGCAGCCCCAGCCCTACTTCCGGTTGCCTGTGCACCTGGCCGTCCCCCCCACCTCCCGCCTAGCGCCCGTCTCTCAGCCCACCATCCTCGGCCCTCCCCAGGTCCCCCACCAGCTCCTCTGAGCTTGCAGGGGGCGCCGAGACTCCTTCCAGCCTCCCATCTGCCCCAGCATCCCGCGTCCCACACGGACGGGGCCAGGATACCCAGAGCAGGCTCCTGCGTGGGACAGACCGCCCCCCCGCCCCCAGAAGCCTCCCCAGGTGCTTGGGCGGCTACTTATCATAATGTTTTAAATACAGAAACACACACAAAAGCAGAGCACACAGAATCACGACTGCATTCACTCACTGCCA